TTCTATGCATTCCCTAAACAATTTTTAATTATGAATGTAAAACACAAGTAGTTTAATTGCTGTTTTTATTTTGCTGGCTATGTCAGGTTGTACTTTCTGGGACATACATGAATACCTGGGGAATTTTGTCTGCTTTTGTTTTTCTTTTTTTAAGTAGATGCATTACATGAGTTCAGTCTTATCAATTTTCTTACTGGGCTTCAGAGGGCTGAGCATTTTCACATTCAGAATTGTGGATTTTGGGAAAAGGGAAGAAAAATGAGTTAGAGGGAATGAGGGAAAATATTAACTCGATACCTTTAATTTACAGCAATTCTGTAGTTCTTTTAAATGTTCCTTAGTCTTGCTGGTTTTGATGCCATTTTAAATGCCAACTGTGCCTTAAAATTGTTCACTTTCTAAGCATGTTAATGTGAAGGAAGTTTGTTCTTTTTTTCTGCAGTTGTGTTATGTAGCATGGCTGGTTCTGCTTGAATGTCATTACAGCAGCGAGATGTTTCAATGTGCCCTGTCAGGTGGCAGCCAGCAGCTGTGCATGCCAACTGCAGGTCCTTCTCTATTGTTTCCTGGCTTAGATCTTTCTGATATCATTTCTATGGAGATCATCTCACTGGAGAGAGTAAAAGGGAATTTAACTTTTAAAACTCTCTTTATTTTTACCATTCAGCTTGTTTCCATGGAAATGGGATCTATAAGATTGTCAGTAGCAAAGAGCTGAAAGTGAGAATTCACTTGTAGATTTTATTAGGTGACTCCCAGCTGAGATCTGCAAATACTGGAGAGCAAAATAAGGAATAAACCATTTAGGACAAGAAAAAAAGACAAACTAAGATATTGGAAAAAACGCTGTCTGCTTTGTTTTTATCCTCACTGGATGTGATAAATAAGGAAATTCTTATTTAACTGTTCTTGGGCGTGTGAGTTGTGTGGACACACTTGCAATTTTCTTCAGACTGTTTTTTAGGATAGCAGCAATTCTATATAACAAATATAGTCCATCCCTTTTATAGGATGGGCTTTTTGACAGAGACCTGACCATTTCAATGGATGTCTGCGTGCAGTGAGGGATATGTGTCAGCAAATTGCATTGCTGCAGTTCAGGTTCAGTGAATTTTCAAATGTTAGCTTATGTTTTTGTGTAAGAAGTAGTTGACAACTCCATTTCTGAAATTACCTACCTTGCTGAAAGGAACTGGTTTGCTAACCAGTAAACCAGATCTGTGTGGCATAAATCTTACATGTTTTGTTGCTCCCTTTAGAATGGAAATCTTTCTTCTGTTGACAGATAAGAAATAAGACTCCTCACCACTGAGGATTTGCCTTAACAGATGTGTCCTCTTAGCAGGTAGTAAAATGCAGGATAGCTGAAGTCAACAGATTTTTCTCCCTGATCTCATATCCCATGTTCTTTCTTTCAGTTCTCTGCATGGAAATCCAGTCTTTATCCCTTTGTGTTTTACTCAGCAACAAACTATTTGTGCAGAATATTTTACCCAGGGGTCCCATGGTATGCTTGATATCCAAATGTGTTGATGTTAAATCTGCCACAACCTTTTCTTACTCGAGTGAGCTAAGATCCAGTGGCTAGGTGGAGTAAGTGCATAATCCTTCAGTTTTAGATAATTATGCCTTGAGTAAAAAGGCAAGCAGAAAACAGGGAGGGAAATTTCTATCTTAGGATAAAAATGCAGCAAAATTTTTAAGAGCGAATGGTCTCTTCCCTAAACTGCTGAGTGAGGGCCTGGGCCTAAGTAACCAGTGTCTCAGTCCTTTGTGTTCTGCTAAATCCTGTGTTGCCTGTGGCCAATACTGAGCAAATCATGCCAATCATGAATTTACCATCTCTCTTCTTCAAACAGCACAATCTGACCTCAAAAAGGGATCACTTAAGAGACTGAGCATAGTTTAAAGATAAGTCAAGGTTCAGGATTTGTTGAAATAACTGGTGTCTTCAGGGAAATTACGACAGTTTTCGTCATGCTGAAAGTGGCCCATTGTATGTTCTTTTCTGTATCATGGTGTCACCAAGATGTTTTCTCATCAGACAGTGATGTGTTTAAAAAAACCCATGAAATACATTAATCTCTTCTTATGGTGTTTATAATGCCCTTGGTGATACAACCTACTGGATTTTAATAACTAGCTCATTCTGATTTTGTAAATCTGCAGGGTTTTGGTTTAAAATAACAAAGTGGGGAACACTGAAAGAAAATTTCAGTGTTATATAGCCAGTACAAGATTTAAATTAGATAATTAACTCTTTATAATGGTCTCTGTACAGCTGTTAGATATTAGTGAAGTCCAAAAATGAAACAAAGAGGTTGTAAAGTAGCTCGTAGAGATATGAAAACAGCTGAGACTTTATCTAACTAAAATCTCTGTGTGATTTGTAACCTAATCTCGTATTCTGTGCTTGGATGTGACAAGTAATCTTGGAATCTTCTTTCTACCAGTCTTCAAGTTGTATGTTCTTCTATTTAAAAGACTCCTCCTTACATGTAAAATGTAACCTCTTATTCACACTGTTGTTGATTACAGTATTAAACTAGTATTTTTAAGTCTTTCCTCCCAAATATGTTTTGGGCATTTCTTCTTCATAAGTTCTGGAACTCCAGATGTAAGCATCTCCAATGAGATGCTTCTGTTCGTTTCGTTTTGAGGTCTCAGGGGATAATAGTTTCTTACAAGTAGAATGTTTATAAATACTTATAATTTTATTAACTAGGAGTTTTAATATGAAACACACCCTAAAGAAAACTGGAGTGTATTTGATAAATTGTTTGGCTTTTTGTTGTCTGCACTGAATTTAACTATTGCTTTTCCTGACTGTTTTTACCAGAAGAGAAATGCAACACTTAGGTAAACTTAAAAGCAGATTGTATTTCACACAGGAACAATGTGCCCTTGTCAGAGACTGTCACAGACTGAGTTCTGTCACAGACTTTTCTATAGCATTAAAGTGGCATTTTGGGATGGTGGAGTTCTCCTTGTTTGCACTCAATATCTGACACCAGTAATAAAGAGCATAAGCCAACAGACTCACAGCTGTATTTACAACCATGTCCCCGTACAATGGCTGCACAGAAATATTCCATGGCAACCCTTTTTGAAATATTTTATAGGTATGATGTTTAGGCTACTATTTATATTAAATAAAATGATTGTCTCGGCCAGTGGATGAATTCCTATAAATTGGGCTAATGGGAGCAAAATGGAAAGGCACAGGCATGAAACATGTGAGCTCTGCTTTGAACCAACTAAAGCACCATCCATGTTTGATCAATCCATCTTGTTTTAGTCTTTGAAACCAGTTACTGAGGCCCTGAGCCTTTACTTTCCTACGGAATTAGTAGATTTGTATTATTAACCACACAACTAAGAGCTAACTTTAGGGCTTTAATTTCTAAGTTCAGATTGAGATATTGATTCAGAGTGAATATATAAATATTTCTTATGAGAATCTCATGGCAAGGGTAGGATATATTGGATATGTTTTCCTTAATGTATTTAGGCCGGTTCTGAAGACTGTTCTATATTTTAAAAATTACGTTGTTTTTAAACGACACACTTACTTTTTTAATTCTGGGCTTGTTGCAGTGGGGTGTTGTTTGGGTGATTTGGTGTTCGATTTTTTTTTTTTTTGGTATTTGGTGGTTTGGGGAATTTCTGTTCTTTTTGAGACCTCTCGAGCACATAGCATATCTTCCTCTTAATACGACTTGATACACAAATAAATGTAGAAAACCTTTTGTGCTTCTGTTTGTTTATTCTCTCAATTTACATTGTGGTTATATTTGTGTATAACACCTATTTGTATAATAATGATTAAATGTAACAAGAGGAATCATCAAAAGTTAGGGCCTGTAAAGGCCTTCACTTCCCTTATTTTTCTGCATAGGTCCCAGCTGGGTGCTGCAGTGACCAGGAATTCCAATCCTATGATTGCAAGTGGCAGCACTTGGAATTATTTTTTCAATGTGAATTCCAACAACTGTTTGAATTCAGAGTTTTCAGGCCAATGAAGCCATGGGTTCCACAGGTTGGAGTGGTAGTTTTTTTGTTGTTTGTGGGATTTGTTTTGTTGTTGTTTTATTTTTTTCTGCTGCTTCTACCGTGATGGATCAGCACATTTAAAAGATGCACTAAAACTTCTGGTGGGGCACAACATTTTTGGATACAGAACTATAACTAGTCCTGTATTTTGATATGAAAACATCTCTAATGCTGCATTGATATTCTGTGTACCTAGTGAAAAGTTGACTATATTGAAGCTATTTTGGGGATGTTTGTAATCTTTTGGAGTAGCTGATTAGGTAATAAATTAGGCATTTGATATGAAACACATGGATAATATTTCTTTTTCTTTTTTTGAGGACCTCTATGCAGGAATAGAGGTGAAGCTGATATAAGGAAAACCTGGAGGGGGGATAGAGAGGAGAAAAAGGCTCCTCCACCTTTGAACTCCAAGAGAATTCGTAAAGGCAACAACAGAACAATGCCTGTGACAGTTGGGTTTTGGTTTGTTGTTTTGGTTGGTTGGTTTTTGTTTGGGGGAAATAAGTGTAATACAGGTCCTACGGAGCTAGAAATGAAACATCTCTATATACAGTTAAATGTTTTTAGGATAATTGTGTAAACCAGCGAGTGCCATGGGCCTGAGTTGTGGAAGTTGCTTTGAAGACTGCTGGAGAGCCAGCCCCCTGGTACACCAACCAGGAATGGTCTAGAAGACTTTGTCTGCATAGGCAACTGTGTGACATACCCAGAAATCTTCTCAACCTTAATAAATTTGCTAATATAATCATGGCCAGTATTTCTTTCTTTGCTGAGCCCTGGTAATTTTTAATGTTTCTATTAATTGAAATTCTGAAATAGCTAATGTTCTGTTCTACAGTTGGATCTGCTTTTAACTACTGTCTTTCCATCAAACTTGAAGTGTATGTATGAATGGGCTCTCTGGGTATGCATATGCACAATAAATATTTTCCTTTTCTTTTCAGTGGGATGCCATAACTGAAATGGATGAACACAACCGTCCCATTCACACTTACCAGGTGTGCAACGTGATGGAACCAAACCAAAACAACTGGCTTCAAACCAACTGGATCTCCCGGGATGCTGCACAGAAAATCTACGTGGAGATGAAGTTCACCCTGAGGGACTGCAACAGCATTCCTTGGGTACTGGGGACCTGCAAGGAAACTTTCAATCTCTACTATATGGAGTCAGATGAGTCTCATGGAGTAAAATTCAAGCCAAACCAGTACAGTAAGATTGACACTATTGCAGCTGATGAGAGCTTTACCCAGATGGATTTGGGCGACCGCATCCTTAAACTCAACACAGAAGTCCGTGAGGTTGGGCCAATAAACAAGAAAGGGTTTTATCTTGCTTTTCAGGACATTGGAGCCTGCATTGCTTTGGTTTCAGTCCGTGTTTATTACAAGAAGTGCCCTTTCACAGTCCGGAATTTGGCCATGTTTCCTGACACAATTCCAAGGGTGGATTCTTCCTCTCTGGTGGAGGTTCGGGGCTCCTGCGTGAAGAGCGCTGAGGAACGGGACACCCCAAAATTGTACTGTGGGGCAGATGGGGATTGGCTCGTGCCTCTGGGACGGTGCATCTGCACCGTGGGATATGAAGAACTGGAGGGCTCCTGCCATGGTAGGAAAACATTGGTGGATTTTTATTTTCTTTTTTGTTTTTAATTTAAAAAAGTAGTCTTATAATGTCATATGTACCTTGCATGTTCTCTTCTGCTGCTCAGAATAATTTCACAATGACTCGAGGATAAGATGCTCTCTTCTGTAGTAATAATTGTAAAGAAAGCCTCAGAAACCACTGAGATGTGAGTCTACTGTGATTTACATTTGCTTTTTAGCAAAAAGGGAGAGAAAGAGTCCATATTCATAAGTTATATAAATGACTGCTGTTTTGCTGCAGAGTTTCTCAGATTCAATGGTATTAGGCAAGGAGCAGAGCAACCTTAGATAATGCAGAGCATTAAAAGCACTGTGCATTGTAATCAGAAAATGAAAGTCACTTTGTTGTCTGGTCTTGCTGGCATTAATTATCAAAACATACTCATTGCAAAGATACAATGTTGACAATGCCATTACTGGAAGCAAGCATCATTTTCTACATGAGGTCAAAAGGTTTCTCTCTTAATGGGATAAGGATTTTCTTTGAGACTTTAATGCTGAATGAATTTCTGTCCATTATGGGAGTGAGTCATACTCTGGATCTCTACATGAGCAGTACAGCCAGCAGAGTTCACCAAAAATGTTTTCTGCTGTACATTGACTCCTCTGGTTTGTTCAATTTGTCCAGTTTGCTGCTGAACAGGTACCTTCTAAATGAAATAGAGTTCCCAAAGCCACAAATGTTTGCATATTCTTATCTATTTGCCCAAGAGTAACAAATTACTATTTTAGAAAATTATAATCTAATAGAACTTCCATATCTTTTGAAATCATTTTCACTGGTATCTGATGTTGTCCATTCGCTCTTCTTCAGTGTATTTTAATATCAGTGCTACTTTTTTCTGACAGCTTTCCAAGCTATATTATTCTTGCATTGCTTCATGAACATCTTGCCCAAGGCAAACCCAAAAGCGGAAGATGCTTTATTAACTAAAGAGCAACGATTAATTTTTCACTAGTGCCCACTCTCCAGTGTCTAAGGGCAGGCATATTTCTCTTTGTGCCAAAGCTGGTGGTGGAGATGCCACTTGGACAGCTGGGAATGCATTTTTACACTATGACTGTTGTGAACTGAAGTGAGATTGAGAGCAACCTTTCAAATAGCCAGAATGTCTTATTTTGAGACTTTCCTTCTTGGCTCAGGCGTGAATCAAAAATTTAATTTAAAAGACCTATTGTGTCAATGAGACTTTAACTAACTCTTTAATACCCATCAAATCATGAAATACCTGAATGTGACTAACTCTCTAAGGGAAAATTTGAAACATTTACATTCAGCTTATTTTCATAGAAGCAGGGTTGTGGGGACTAGGTGGGGGAAGAGTAGAAACCATTATAGTCTGATAAGAAGACCTGAGATGTATTTACACAATTTTCATGTCTTCTAGGTCCTTCCTGCAAATCCCAACCCCAAACCCTTTGTCCTTCCCATTCCCTTGCTGGAGTTACGAATTTGAGTCTTGAAAGTATTTTACGTCGTTGTGTTGGTACTTCTTTGTAGTCATGCTCTGTGAAATATTCAAAAGAGAGAATTATTTCTTTCCTCTACATGCAAATAATAGCCAAAATAATAATTTTGCATTTTGAAATCTGTTCTGACAACTAATTGGGTGGTGGGCAATACTTGCTAATAGTTGAATGTTTTCTCCTACTTGTAAATGTTGTCAAACTGATTATACACCGTCATGTGGCTCAGTGGAGGAGTAAGCACTTCGTGGTATATAGGGCTTATCTGTCACAGCATTTAAAAAATAAATTTCTATTTTGATATTTGTGGAGACAAGCAGTCTCTATTCAGGAAGTATTAAGTGGCATAAGGAAAGACATTCTGCCTTTGTCATTGCACGTAGTTTTACAAAGCAGCAAGAATGGGAATAAAAACAGTCTTTGATCAGTTTTAATACTGCTGTTAAAATCATAGGTCATTTTTAACTGCCAAAATCTAGTTTATTTGCTTCCCTGACTGGCAACATTTCAGTTATTTCAGTATATGTGGGTTTTATGTGTATCTCTCCTTGTCTGTGAATCCATCAGTATTCCCTATCCATCCTATTTCCTTTTAAAAGCATAAAAGTGTGTGAGAAGAATTCCCAACCAGTTTAAAATATCCATACTTATTAAATGTATGCCCCAATGTGTCTAGTCAGTTCAGAGGCAGATTGATGGGGAGTTTTTCATTAATTTGGAAATGTCTTCCTTTTCTGAGGTCAGTGGGGAAAAGTCTCATTGACTGCAAGATGTTCACAGGTATTTATGTGTTATGTACATTTCTTAAGGGGATAACCTGAAAAAAATACCATCTTCTCTAAACTTACTGTGTAAACAATCTATCATCTTTGGTTTCAATCTACTTTCTAGATTGTCCCCTCAAAATCCTGAAATAACAGCAACATTCACATATTCTTCTGTTTCTGTAGGCATTAATAAATAAATTAATACCAATAATTTTGTGATATTAATCATAAATGGCTCTAATTGAACTGCTTTGCTGTTCATTGATGCCAGCCCCATTAACAAGTTACAGCTTAAAAAGGATTCTAATAAACATCAATTAAAAGTAGCAAGTTCAATGTCATGTATTTCCTGAATGTCAGCCCGAGACAAGAGTTGTACTAAATTTAACAAATGTATAATATATAAAGGTCATATCAGGACTTTGTTTATGGTTTATTTTATGGTTTATTTATCTTTTATTTTATGGTGTTTGTGGTTTATTTTACACAGGAACAAACAATCATGATAAGGAACATTATAAACTCAATTGTAATAGCTCTGTTTGGGCATGATACAGAAATAATTGGATTATTGTTAACTGAAGTCTAATTCTGTAATGATTTACCAAAAATTATCTGAATTATCAAGGTTAGTAATTAATGGCAGATAAAAAATAATTTTATATAGCAATTAATAATTATTATAGTAATTTCAGCATATATTTTATTCTTAACCGATCAAACACAATACGGAAATGTATTTTACCAACCATAAAAATTGATTCTTCTTGAGGAACATTCTCAGGAACCCAGCACCCCTAAAGGATGTTATGTGGTACAGTTGAAGAAGCTTTAAAAATGTAAACCAACAGGCTTTGACAGACTCACCTGGTTTATTTTAATTACAATAAATACAGTAAAAGTGGGAATGCAACATTCAAATTCTTTGACCTTGAGTTGACTGAACAATGCTTCCTAGGGATATTAATGCCTGAACACATTGAGTTTTTAGTTGAACAAACACTTATTTTCCTTATTCATTACTTGAATTTGTGGAATATTTCAATGTTAGGACCTTGGCTTTTTCTTCTTAAGCCATTTCATCTGATTCAATTAAAAAAAACTTTTCATTTTGCAAATATGAACTAATACCCTCCTCATATATGTACCTGTAGTATGTCTTTGTTTTTGGGAAAGCAAGCAGTTAATGTTGGTCATGCTTTAGTTACCTGTATGTTGGCAGCAAAACAGGAAAAGTGGGGGGAAATGTAAACTGGAACTGCAAGTTTAATACTTACAGATAGAGGACTGTAAAGTTCCTTTTGATTTTTCTTCCATATGTTTATTTACTCATGAGATCTAATCTTCACCAGGCACTGAAGGAAGATCAGTAAAGGAAAAGCAGAGTAAGATTTAAACTACCAAAAAAAAAAAAAAGAGAGGAAAAATAAAATTAAATTTAAAATTTTGGAAGACTTCAACTTATCTTTTTAAGACAAAACTCTACCACCATGGAAAGCCCCTCCTGCAGCAGAGCTGGGACCTTTCCCTTGTTCCACAAGATACAGAGTGTAAAATTTCAAATTTCTATTTCCTGCCAACACTTTTTGGATAGCCAAAGATAGGAATTTGTCAAAGAGGATGAACAATTGGAGACTAGGATGATCTACTGACTATTTTTTCTCTGTCACAGAATATGACAAGTACAGAAGGTATCCTGGGACTACCTGCAGCTCCTGGTTGTATTAGCTGACATGTTCTGTCTCATAGACCACTGCAGGCCTCTTAAATACCCTTTTCCTTTCAAAATAGAAGGCAGTCAAGTAGGAAGATTGATAACACAAATTCTCAATTTTATATAAAAAAAGTCTAATTGAAGCCTCATTTCCCCCAAAAATCAAAGCCTTTTGATTTTCTTTTGCTTTCAATTTCCTTCTTTCAACTGAAGCCTCAAGTGAAAGCCCGCAGGGATTTTCCCTCAAGGATCATCACTGTCAGAAAGGAGTCACTTTGAGAAGGGTCAGAAGGGGACAGAGGTGAGGGCACATGTAGAGCAACATCAGAGGTGGCCTGAAGAATGGCAGGAGTGGTTGGAGATGGTTATTTATCCATCAGGCTCAACTCTGTGTTTGTTCTCCACTATGCTTTGTTCCTATGCACTATTTCATGGTGATTTTTGTTTAGCAAGAACCCTCAACAGTGCTCCAGAGAGCAGGGAGGATGGGGAGCCTGCAAAATTTACCAAAATCTTCCTCCCTTCTTGAGTGTCAGGGAGAGCAGTTGTATATAACAATCTTCTCTGCACTGATCTCTTAGGGATATAATTAAAATAGTTGGTTTTTAATTAGTTGAGGGTTTTTTAATAATGAAATCATTAAATAGTTGCACTATTTTTTGCAAATAAATAGTCATATAATTTATTGACATTTATAACAGCTTCTTAAATGTGTGACTGCTCCGAAAGAGGTTCGCCCTTTTTTCCTGTGCTTAAGCAATGACAGTTTATTTCACATAATTTATGTGAGTCTGAAGAGCTTTAGAATTCACTATTTCAATGGCAGTGCTCAAGACGTTTCTGATTATTGGTGATAGCTGTTTTTCCCTGAAAAACCTACTCTTTAGCCTATGTAAGGCTACAGGACACCTGTGAACACTCAACACGTATTATAACTTAGAATTCTGAATATGGGTAACATGGAATCGTGATTTTGCAATTCCAAATTCAGTTTTTAGGTCAAACTGCTAAATA